TCACTTCCTATATGCTCTATATGCTAATGTTAATATGTTATATGCTAAAGTTTGCACCCTCCTCCCCAAAAATTTGAAACCTAATCCCCTATGTGATGGTATTTGGAGGTGTGGTCTCTGGGAGGTAATTACATCATGAGGGAGGGACCCCATGAGTGGGATTACTGCCCTTATAAAAGAGACCCCAGAGAGCTCCCTTGCCCCTCTGCTATGTGAGGACACAAGATTTACACTTCCCAGCCTAGGACAAATAAATGTCTATTGTTTATTTAAAAAAAAAAAAAGAAGAATAGGAATTTGGAACCCTTTCCACATTAGCAAAACCACAGATTCAACACAAAAGGCTATCAACAGAAAAGTAAGTAAATAAACTTTGGTGTAGTTGCACAATGGAATATAACGTGATAGTCAAATCCAATGAACTCTACCAATACAAACAAGTGTCAATGAACCTTAGAAAACAGTATTGAGTACAACAAGTACCAAGAGATTATATATAGCATACTGCCCTTTTAAAAGTTAAAAACAACTAAAATTTAAAAAATATATAACTACATGTATAATTATAATATATTCCCATTTGTATTTATGTGATATATATGTATTAATAAGTATATATGATAAGTGAAAACGATATACAAGGAAAGCAAGGGTATCTGGAACGTGGGATTAGGATGATGGTTTCCTTCTATGGGGAGGTGGGGTATCAGTTAATGGGGGGAGACCATACAATTATATGTAAGTTATTATGAAGGTTTAACTTTTCTCGTGTGTTGTGCATTTATGGGTAGTTGCTACATTATTAGAAGTGACTAAGTCACTAACTTAGTAAAAGTGGGCCTCTATAATGGACCAATGATGAGAGTCTCACATGGAATCCAGAGCTATGATTTAACCCAATTCTGTGCTCCTGGGGTTAAAACAGCAAGACTGAAAATAAAAACCCAATTGAGATGTGAGTGGTGCATTCAAAAAGATCCTGCATGGTGAAAGACACTAAGGCATACGTCTCTGAAAGTGAGTTCAAGTTCTAAGACTCAAGGCAAAAATAATCATTATGTAACTATAAAATAACTGTTGATAAACTCTGAGGAACCAGGAAGGCCAAGAGAAAGTCTCAGAACTTGGGATGCTGATTCCCCCCCCCTTTTTTTTAAACAAGAGGGTCTTCTTGGTGCTTCCTCAAATCATTAAAACAAAAAACAAAAAACATGTATTTATCTTCTCCTGATAAACATATTACTGTATTTCTTAATCTTGCAGTGGGGAAATAAAATATGAATAGCAAGTAAGAAATGTAATTAAGAAGACATGAGATCATTTCAAGGTCATTATTTGGCCCACTTTAGAAATTCTCTGTGTTTTCATAATTAATTTAGGGACTTTGTGGTCATTGGATTCTTCCCCCCAAAACAGCCACCCAAAGAGCTAATTCTTTAACTTTCAGTTTTTGGTCTATACCTGTGAATGAATCTAAAAATACTTTTATTAATTAACTACATCATTAAAAATTAACAGCAAAGCCTAAAAAAATACTATTTTCTGCAAAAAATAGATAAATTCATAGTACTTAAAAAAATAGTTCTCTCTTCAAACTATTCTACACAGGCACATGCACGATTTTCAGTGAACTGTCAGTAAAGTGGATCTACATTTGTATTTCATAATGCTGACTAAAACTAATACTCATCTGGTTATTCTTTTTTTATTATTATTTTTTTCATCATGATAAGTATGCTCTTTAATCCCCTTTGCCTATTTCACCCATTCCCCACCCCCTCCCCTCTGGGAACCATCAGCTTGCTCTCTATAGTTAAGAGTCTGTTTCTAGCTTTATACCCTCTAGCTCTCTATCCATGTTGTTGTAAATGGCAAGATTTCATTCTGTTTTATGGCTGAATAATATTTCATGTATATGTATACCACATCTTCTTCATCCATTCATCAATCGATGGACATGGGCTGTTTCCAGTTTGACAATTGTAAATAATGCTGCTCTAAACATAAGGGTACATGTATCCCTTTGAATTAGTATTTTTGTATTTTTTGGGTAAATATCCTGTAGTGCAATTACTGGATTGTAGGGTAGTTCTATTTTTAATTTTTTGAGGAACTTCCAAACTGTTTTCCATAGTGACTGCACCAGCTTCTGGGATACTAATTTTCAAAATGAAGAAAGGCAACCTCCAGAGACTCTTTGGTAAGAAGTTAGATATCAATCATCAAAACTAGCAACTGAGATAAACACAGGGAAAGCACAATCATCAAGTTCGTGGCTAGCATAAACTTAAGGAGCTATTTAACACTGAATGATAGAGCTGAACTTTAAAAACATTTTGGTCTTGGTCTATGGTCTGACTCTAATTAGAGAAATGATGACATATATTAAAAATTATTAAAACTGGGGCCTGAGTGGTTTGGTCGGTTAAGTGTCCGACTCTTGATCTCGACTTGGGTCTTAATCTCAGGATCATGAGTTCAAGCCCCGCATTGGGCTCCATGGTGGGAGAGAAGTCTAGTTAAAAAAAAAAAACAAAACAAAAACAAAAACAAAAAGAATTACTAAAATTAAAAATACATGGATTGTCAATATAGGTAGGAGATGAAACTCCATAGAAATTCATAAATGCCTTGGAATTTTGGTGGGCAGGCAAGCTCAAAAGGAGGCAAAAAATTTCAAATTAATGAGTTCCTACAATTTATTGTAAATGTATGGGATCCTAAGCAGTGCAGAGAGGATATGGTCCCCATAGGCACTACACAGGTGAACTCACAACTAGTATACTGTGTTCAATTAATTTCTGGGTGGCACATATTAAAAAACTAGAGTATGTGTGGGGTAGAATGAACTGAGTGATGGAAGACTGATACCTCTAATGATAAGAAGAGTAAGGTGATTTAATTATCAAGGGGGAAAATCTTGAAAGAAAGGGAGCAACACCAAATACTTGACCATGTATCAAAAGAGATGAGCTGCTTTAGGACACAAGGAGAACCAGGAGGAAGCAAATTCTGCTTCAGCCACAAGGAAGAACTTTAACAATCAGGAATATCTTATCCTCAAACCATGAGGTTCTACCTTTGTAGCCCACCTGCTTGGTGGTTCTTCAAATGCAGAGGACAACAGTCTATGGGCTCCTTTACAACCTCCTTATTTGTCAGCTCCCTTCTTCTTCATGCCCTTATTTATCCTAGTTAAGAGTCCATGATCAAGGAGGAAATATCCTTCCCTCTTTTATCTTTTAGCTCAGTGTTTTTTAAACTATGGGTTTCAGCCCATTCATTGGATGCAGAATCTATTTAATGAGTGAGGATCTAAAATAATTTTTTTATTTAAATATAATAGAAAATATCAGACTCTACTGCTCATTGGAAGGGTATAATTTCATGAAAATTTTCTTTCAATATATCTATTTTTATGTTTCCATAAATATACTGGGTAAATGTGTTTCTTATTGGGGGTTATAGCTTAAAATAAAGTTGGAAAGACACAGCTTTTCCTCATGCTCTGGAACCTGTCCTCTTCCCCTGCTCCCATTCACTCAAGACCTCACACCACAAATTACTCTCTTGCTCTCTCTACTGGTTCCTTCCCACCAGGAGAGAAGCATGTTCAAATCTCTCACATAAAAGTAAACAAATGTAGAGCAAACAAAAATAATCCCCCTTCAACGTCACAATTCCATCTAGATATTGGTCCCTTTATATTGTTTCTCCCCTCTCTCAATCTTCTAGTAAAGAAATGTCTAGGCCACATCTCAGATGTGAATCTCTACTTTCTTCCCTACAATATGGCACTCATGCCGCCAATGGCCTCTCTACATAATCTCCTGAAATTGTTCTTACCGTGGTCACATGATGCACATGTACTAAATCCCAGAGAAGTCTCAATCCTCACCTTGTTCATCCATACCCCCAGCAGCATATGGTTCTGTTGAGTACCCACTTAGGCCCACAGCTCCTACATATGCTCACACTTAAGATTCTCTCCCCACCCCCTTTTTTTATGGGTTCCTTTTCTTCTAATCATCTTTTATATACCCATGTCCTTAGAGGCGTGGTCATGGGCCTTTCACTCTCATGATGCCTTCTCTGCCTGGGGCAAGACCATCCACTCGTATGGCCTCGATTCCCTTCAAATGTGCATACAACCCAAATCTGTATTTATTAGCTGTCCCTGAGATGCTGAATGTCAGAGAGGAATGCCTCATCATGTATCTGACCTCTCCACTGGGCTGTCTTACAGGCATTTTTAACTCACATGTCCAAAATAAAATTTGCCATCTCTCCCCTTCACTTCAGGCCTACAATTCTTCTAGCGCTCCCCATCTCAGTATCTGGTACCACTGCGTACCCAGTCGCCCACATCAGAGGCCTCAGAGACACCCTGACTCCTCTTTTAAACTCATCCCCTCATTCACCCTCCTCTTGTGAGATATAAATGAAATAGACCCTCAGTAAATATGAGCTGTTCCTATTTTTGCATGGTCCACTCATCATTAGGCAGTCAAGGACTTCCATAAACCTTAGCCTAAGCAACCCTCACTACTCTCCTATGCAACCTCCTCCCTATACCCCTAATAGCGCCTCTACCATTAAACTTAGCAGAGCTTTCTGCAATCACCTGCTTACATTTTGTCTTCTCCATCAGACTATAAACTCCAGGAAGGGTATGTGCATTTCCTTCTTATTCACCATGTTACCTCCAAAATACCTTGATGCCCCGTGAGTATTTGTTAAATGAATGAATGAATGTTTGGAAACTTAATGAGCTCCCCATGAAAAAAATGTTAAGAGAGCAAACAATGATTATCTGTAAAGGAAGTCAGAACAGAGACTCATGCAACAAGTGGAAAATTGAGATTAATACCCTTTAGGTTTCTAAGATTTAACAGTATTTTATTTGGATCCAGAAATACATAGATTCTTTATCCTTTGTCAGATGAAAATGATTTTCCTTTATTAAAATTAAACATTAAAATCAAGATATATTTACTTACCTTTGCCATAATATCTGCATAAGCCATATATAAAAAATCTTCCTCCAGTTTGCTATGAAAAACAAGAAGAAAACGTGAGTTTTTAAGTAGGAGGCTAGTCATATGTAAAACTGCCATCACTGTATAAAATAACCTTTATTTTTCAACCAGTATGCCCTTTTAAAATGAAGTAAACACAAAACTTAGGCAAAGTCATCATTCAAAAATATGGTAGAATCAGACAGCAAAGATCTCAGACCTAAACAGCTGACCCATCTTACCTTCCAGAAGAGGCCTTCAAGTCTCACAAAATAAATGGTCTACTGATTTACATACAAATGTAACAGCTTTAATTTTCTTGAAACTACACAAGCTGAAACAAGCAAGTTTAAACGAGGTAGGGGCTTTTGACAGCAGAAGTGATATTTGACATTTGATGGGAAGATTCCCCAAATTATTATGCTACTACACTGTTCAAAAATATAGTGATTCTTAAAAATTAAGAAATGCGTTTAATATCTTCTTCTTAAGACGTATGGAAACCATTAATTCATGAAGAAAGGTTTCCATCAAAAAGTACCTAATATTTGCAAAGTTATTTTAGCAGTTTTAAGGTTCAGCCATCAGAAAAATTCACTTATGAAAATACCTCATTACCTGACAATGCCAGACAGAGGGTTGCTCTATGCTTAGGGATGAGATGATTTTGTTAGTTAGGAAATAATAGAGAGAGAGACATCGTGAGAGAAGGATGGATCACACTGGCTAAGAGGGAGAAATGTGCATTATTACGGCATGCATAGAGGTCAAATGAACTCGTCTAGACTCTCAAAAGACTCATGTGGATAGGACTGATCATTAAATTATCTTCCAGCTTTTGCAGGAATGAGAGTGAAGCCTAGGGAAAAGCAGGCTCCCTTTTGCATGGCAGGGAGGCAGATAAATGTTTTATAACCTCTGAAAGATTTCATCCACAGAATCTCTGCAGTGCACCCTATTATGAGCAAATGCTGAGCCCATTTTGATTACTGGGCATCTAAGGACATAGAGGTTTAACTACACAGAGGTTCGGCCTTTGTGGCTTTGGTGAACTCATACAAATAAGACTGTAGAAGCCACAGAAAATGGAGAATGCCCTTAAAACAGACCTCAAAGAAACGTCCTGTTGAGTTGATGGCTCACCCGCCTCCTAAAGGTTTCCTAAGACCCACTGCACAATGGAGACACAATCTACCCAGGAAATTTGGGTCACCCTTGGCCTCCACACATTTTTTCGTACTGGAATTTGCTTTGGGCTCTTCTGTTTTATTTATAAAGGCCATTTGTGATAAAGAAAAAATAATTTCATAAGATTCGGGATCAACTGCATCAGCTAATGACAAAATTGTTACAAAAAATTGGAGCTCACAGACAGACATTAAAGCCTGAACTTGAATGAATGTTGGTCCACAGGTGTATGGCAGACTGGTCCTATCTCGGAACAATTCTCTCTCCTAACAAGAACAAGATGAAATTGCAACATGAATGTGTGAAACACAAGATACTCAGACATGGGGTTTCTTTATCTGTTCTTCCTATGCTCACACAAACCCTCCCAACCATACCATTTCTCTGTTAAAGCTGTTCTACTAAACAGAAGGATGAGCTGATGGAGGGGATCAACTCTCTTCGTGCCTTCCTCTTCTTCTGGAGGGTTGGCTCCAGGTTTCTACAAAAAAGCCAAATTGATAAAATTTCACATTAAATGAAATGCACACACAAAGCCAGGAGTAATATGAGGGTCAGGAACAATGACTAAAAGGAAAGCCATCTTCTTCCTGCTCTGGCGTGCGTGTGCATGTGTGTGTTTTACATGCAATGTGCATGCAAGTGTGTGTGCTTTTAGGCACTGTGCATGCACATGTGTATTTTATATACATTGTGCATGCATGTGTGTGTGTTACATTAATCAATGCAAAACTATGCAGCTTAAAAAAAAGATATTTAATAATTGGACCAAAAGACACTGTGAGCAAGGATGACTCACATCATTTAAAAATTCTGAATGCTATTCTTAGAAGCAGATTGACAACTGGGAGTGTATTTGGTACAGAGATTTCAGCTTTAGGGAGGGCTCAATTTGCAAAGAATTACAACAAAATCCTCAGTCACTCCAAGTATAAACATTTAGTTCACAGAGCAGTGAAAACTGATTATTATCAAACAAAACATTTTCCTTGCCTACACAAACAATGTCAGGTAAAGAATGCTAAATGACTTAATGCTTGAACCACTTACATGTTTTTCTTTTTTCTTTTCAGTTACTTTAAACTTAAAAAGAATACTTTTGTACTATTAGAACTTCTAACACAAGGAAAATTATTAAGCATTTTTACTCAATGTAGAATTAGTTAATCTTGACTGTTTGTTGAATGGTTTAATGACTTTTATATCTCTATTGCCTTACGCATTCAGACTGATTTTTTTCTTGATTTCTTTTTTCATTTTTATTTTTTTATTATGTTCAGTTAGCCAGCATATAGTATATCATAAGTTTTTGTTGTAGTGTTCAACAATTCATTAGTCATGTATAACACCCAGTGCTCATCACAACATGTGCCCTCCTTAATAGCCATCACCCAGCTACCCCATTCCCCAACCCCCTCTGCTCTGTAACCCTCAGTTTGAGTGAATGAGTAAAACTATACGATAATTGTCTTTCTCTGCTTGACTCTGCTTGACTTATTTCACTTAGCATAATCCCCTCCAGTTCCATCCATGTTGATGCAAATGGTGGGTATTCACCCTTTCTGATGGCTGAGTAATATTCCATTGTGTATATGGACCACATCTTCTTTATCCATTTGCCTTTTGAAGGGCATCTCGGTTCCTTCCACAGTTTGGCTATTGTGGACATTGCTGCTATGAACATTGGGGTTCATGTGCCCCTTCTATTTACTACATCTGTATCTTTGGGGTAAATACCTAGTAGTACAATCGCTGGGTTGTAGGGTAGCTCTATTTTTAACACAGACTGATTTTTTCTCTACATAAAAGATCTTCTTTTCCTGGATTTATGGCTTAATACTGTAGATACTGGGTAAATTTCTATAAGCTATCTAATATTCTATGGGTTGTTTTGGTTCTAAAGACAAACTGAATTCACTTAAAATATATGGGGAAAATCAAGGTCAAGCATTCATGAATTGTATCAGTTTATCCAATATTCCCTGATAACTTGTGAGTTGAAAAATAACTTTTAGACAGGAGGTCATTAAGTTGGGAATCATGTAGCCTCCAACTAGTCTGCAAAATTCTACAAGACCATATGCTTATAAATTTTCCTGAGAAGACGGCTTTAATCAGATATTTTAACAGATCCACAACTTAGAAAAGAATAAGACAATGGCTGTCCAGAGTGCTCTGCTCTCAGTACAAGAGCGTCCTTACCAGCACAGCATGGTGGAACCAAAAATCTACTTGCCATCTACATTTACCATGACTTCCTGTCCTTCTTGTATCCAGTCTATCATTCTCTGCCCTGTTTGTTTTTAAAAACCAGCTACTTTTTATTGGCTTTGTTAACCTTCACTTATGTTTGGTGAATAACTTCATTATGGTTCAGCTTGTATAGCTCTATACTGGTTCTGAGGTGGTTAAAGGGGCTTTGAGGAAGAATTTAAGAGAATAATGGAATCAACATTTGGTTAATAATAAACTATCATTCAGCTTCACTTCTGAATTGCATGGTGTTGAAGAGAGCTCTCTGAAATAAGGATAAAATTTTCCCTAAACACTGAATGCAATGACAATCAAGAATAAGTTTCCCAGGATGAATACGCTACAATATTTTCTCTTCAATATGATAAGTGCTCACACCAATGTTATTCCACCAAACCCAAACCCTCTTTCATCTTATAACCCCATTAAAACATACTGCTAAATCTTCTATCAGCTTATCTTCAAAGTAGTGTTCTTCTGTTTCAATCCAAGACTTTTCATATCCCTGAAGAAAGAGATTGACAGCCCGGTGCCTAAAAGATAAGCACAATTTCAAACAAAGAATTTTTTAAATACACTGGAAAAGTATTCATTAGTGCTGTATCACTGGACTTTCCATGCACTAAGAAAGATAAAACAACAAACTTTCTACTCATGATTGCAGAGGCAATACATCGTAGTGAAGAAGGCAAGGCTTCTCAGATCACAGGCTGACTTACATTCAAATTCTGGCTCGGCCATTTCTAAGCTTCACAACACACCGGCCAAGTTATTCACTTTACCAACTTTCACTTTTTCCATTGATAAAACTAGGAGAACCCCATCTGTACTTCAGTTTTGCAAGATGTAAAAGGAGATAAACAATGTAAAGCACAGTGGGTAGACAGATGGTCATTAAGTGGTAGCTATTATGACAATAAGGTGGCTCTGGATAAACCATGTACTAAGCGTTCATAAAGGAATTATTCAGTGTTTGAGTTAACATTTGGTACAGACCCTGAGGATTACAAAACAAAATGTATTACGTGAACTTAATAGGAGTATGTATCCAAAGACTAAATCCTAGGATACTGAAGTTTAAATGGTTGCCTATGAAATAAAAGAGCACTGAAGACTAAAAGAATCAATAAACTCATCATGAAGTTGATGAGAGGTACAGATAAGACACCACCATAAGAAAGGATAAAAGAAAGTCATGACCATAAGGAAACATCCTAAGAGAATATCAGAAGTGTTAAAAGGAGACGTGCCATCACAGGATGGAAAGCTGAGCCTAGCGGTACTAAGGGCGGGCTATGCAGTTATGAGCCATACGCTCAGATAGGTTTACGAAGAGTCTGGAAAGTCAATGGGAGGAACTGACGATGCACCTGGAACTGCTAGAGATCGCTGTAAAGTCCTGTGCATGAAACAGGCATGACAAAAGATGGGCTCAGCTTTCCTGGGACAGCAGAACCACCCAAGCAGCTTCTGCACAATACACTTGCTAAGCACGCACAGACATGCTGATTCAATAGGTTGAAGCTTGGGTGTTTCTGAAATGAATTTGAGTGCATTTCCCCAAAGCACCAGCTTTGAGAGCCACCCCAAAAAGGGATACACTTTTGAAAATGTTTTATCAGAGGGAGTGGATCAGCAGACTCTGTGACATCGGGGAAATGAGCTCGGAATCTGCTGCCATCAACCTGATAAGAGGCGATAAACAAGTGAGCTGAAGAGGTGGCCATTAAGGGAAGAGTATCCCTGTGAAGCAGCTCAAAGAAAAAATCTGATGGAATTTGGAGAATGACTGGATAGGAGTGAACAGAAAAGGAATAAGACAATGAACTCAAAGTTAATGTTCTAGTGACTAACTGGTGACCCCATAACGGAGTCAGAGAATTTAAAAGGCGTACATGGTCTGAGGGGGAAATTCATGTATTTTTATACTTAGTGAGTGTGTCAGAGCAAGGAGTCCAGCTGTCTTAGTGAAAGGGGAATGTGTGAAGTTTGTTTGCTTTTTTGTTTTGTTTTACTCCCTGACTCATTTATTTATTCAAACATGTACTGCAAGTCAGAGTTCTAGGTACTGAGGATATAAAATTGAACACCACTCTAAAGGATCTCAAAGTTCAGATCAGAGAGACAAACAGGCCCAACGCTACAGGAATGCGCCCACAGCTAGAGGTCTGGAAAAGCATCCTAGGAACAAAGAGGAGGAAGCATTCCATTTGCAAGGAGTGGAAGAGCATGCTCCGAAAAAGAGATGCAGCTGAGCCGAGTCCTGTTTACCAGATGTGGGGATGATGCCACTGACACAAAGCTCCGAGTGGAACGGGCACAGTTTCTTGGGAAAACTACAAGGAGGCAGAACTGGCACCTCGGCCATGGAGCCAGACTCCAGTGTACCAGGTTATTACTCTATTAACAAGTATGCCCGCTGTAAGAGAAGGTGGGGGGGGCGTCTGTTGAACGCAGTGATATTATTTCCATGAACTAGTTCCAAATCAGTTCTTCTCCCCAAGACAGACAATCCCTCAAAAAAAAAAGACAGACAATCCCTCAAAATAATAAATAACAATTAACATGTATAGTGTTAAGTTCGGCTCTAAGCACCCTGTACCTCAACCCATTAAGTCATCTGAACAAGTCCATGAGGCAAATCTCATCATGGTACACATGAAGAAACTTGACCAATGTCAGGCAGCCATCAGCTGAGATGCCAGGATTCAAATCAAGGTTGTCTGAGTTCCTAATTACCCCAACCCGCCTTACATATGTGAGCAGATTTTCCTCAGTATTTAAGAGTATTTAACAATCACACTGTAGACCTTAGTCCTCTGGGAATACCCAGCGAAGAAAAACAAACTCAAGTATTACACAGAAGAACCAAAGCATCTCTTCCATCTGTCTCTCAGACTATTGAACTCATGTTAAAATGGACACTATACTCCTACTGCTTAGTAGGGAAAAAAATAACTTCAATCTATTACAGACATTAAAAAAAGTCTGACCTTGGCAGATTGTATAACGGAGCCATCCGGAAGCAGGCTACCACTGCTCTTTTCCTCTGTTTGGATAACAGTTTGTGCCATACAGCCTTCTTCGATCTCTGTGGATGCTCCACCTGAGGTAAAAGGATACAAAAAAAAAAATTAAATATTTAAACCCTGGACTACCCTCAAAAATACAGTATTAAACAGCTGTGCCTTTTAGATTAAAAACTTTTGGAATTTCAATTTCAATTTCGAGTACCTTACAATTATTATGGAAAAACCCATGTCCTAGAGGTAACCCAATGTTAAATTGGAAATAGGTTTAAATGTTTCATATTTTCTTTAGTCAAAATATAATATTTTAAGTACTGTGTACTTAAGAAGTTATGTCATCTCTAAAAATCAAAGAAATATAAAACCATTCTACATAAAATCATGTTTTCAGAATTTGGTTATGGTTCTAAAACATATTTTCTGTCTACACAAAAAATTAACCTACTTCCTTATGTACCCATTTAAACCAATTTTATCCTAAGAGTTTACAGCAGTCAACAGGAATAGAGGCAGCCACAGAAAATTCTACCGAAAATTCAACTGTTCCTTAAGATAATAGGATGGAGAGAAGATGACAAGGCTTCGGGAACACATTACTAGGAGTGAGGAACACATTACTAGGAGTGAGGTAAAGAATTTAATTTTGCAAAAATGTTAAAATACGTAATTATTTTGTTAGAGAGGGACAAACAAGAATTCAAAGTTGTAGTAAATGAGGCAAGCAAGCTATATATTTAGCTAATGGTGTTTGGAGCTCCAAGACGAAAAAGAGATTAATTATAAGTATTAGACAGGAAAAAAAAACCAACATGTAATTCTAAATTAATTAGTAGTCTCTAGGTAATTGAACACTGTACTTCCCAGACTGTAATATCTCCGGCGCATACATGTAGATTTCTGTAAGAAATAAAAATGTTGTGTTACCTAAAAAAATAAAACTAAAATCTATTATCCTTTGTGGTAAAGGGTCAAAATATGAATGTCATAATGCATTAACAATGTCTGGACTACAGTGGTTTAGAAATTTTAACGAAGCAACTTGTATAATTGGAAAACACTTATTTCTGTGATGGTCATCCCTCCACAGGATCAGTAAACACTTTCTGACAATTGTCCTCTTCTGTTTTCTTCTGGATGACTGTGTTAAGTGAATCAAGGGTAGTACTGTTCAACTAGATCCAATGCATTCAAGTTCCATTTTGAGATTCAGTCTGTACAGACTAGCTTTCTGTGGGAATCCGGCATTCTGATCGGTGTGGGTGGCAGTCAACAATTACAATAAAGTACCGAAGCGTTGAAGATCCAGTTGTGAACATGGTAGAAAATGTGTCCGTCATCATGAAGCTTACCACTTGGCAGAGCATTTTATTACACATGAAAAGTCCCTGAATAGTGAGGTTTCTTCTAACTGTCTGAATGCCGGGAGGTGCTGATGTGTTAGCACGGCTTGAGTTTGAGTATTAGGAAATTGCAAGGGGACAGGTTACTCTCATGGGACCAATGACCAGATGTGCAGTATAAAATATACAATTGCAGGGGCACCTGGGTGGCTCAGTTGGTTAATCCTCTACTTTCTGCTCAGGTCATGATCCCAGGGTCTTGGGATCCAGCCCCACATCGGGCTCCTTGCTCAGCAGGGAGCCTGCTTCTCCCTCTGCCTGCCACTCTCCTTGCTTGTGGGGCTTTCTGTCTCTCTTTCTCTCTCTCAAATAAATAAAATCTTAAAAAAAAAGAAATAAAATATACAGTTGCAAAGGTTGCTGATACGGGAGATAAATCAAATATCGGCTACGCATCCACTGTTTTCTCATTGAGTTGAGCAAGTGAAGATATTCTTCGCAAGCTACTCAATGAATGAGGGACAAATTAACATTAGAATAGAGGTATTAAAGGCATGAATTCCTCTTGTGGCCCATCTTTCACTCTTTTCTAGTCTTTGGTAATTGATGATTTCTTTTTACTCATATTCTTAACAATGTGAAGAATAGTTGACCTTAACTAAAATCTGACCCCCTTACCTTTTCCTAGAAAATTCCTTTAAGATTATGGAGATCACCTACTTGGCAATGAGACTGTCTGGACTCCTTATATGTCTGTTCAGCACATTTTGTGTCCCGGCACATCTGTATCATTACATCTTTATCTATTTATGTGTCCACATGCTCTACTATGGCATGACCTACTTGAGTCTAGAGACAGAATTCAATCCCCAGAACCTGCAGAGTTCTGCCATACGGTAGTGCATACAATAAACGTTCATGGAGGGAATGGCTGCGTCATAGAATGAATCTCACTACATATGACTTCGCTCATTACAATTGAATACAGTTATCAATATATGTCGCTAGAATAAAACATCTAACACATATTTTACCTAACTAGAAGATTCCTTACACAACAATATAACCCATGGATGGATAATGTTTCAACTATTATTGGTTTGGGAATTGCTGAATAATGAATAAGGAAATCAAACACATAGTGAACTTTGTAGTTTAAGGTAGGATACAACTGAAAAATTATATAAAAACACTATTCTCACACAATTTTAATATCAATGCACTGCTCTTCTCTAAATGTAATTTATTGCTGATCTTGGAGAAAATTAACTCAAAAATACCTATAATAAAAGGAAAGGTGAAGCAAAAGACCAAAAAAAAATTCAAATACTAAACTAGTGACAGCATCTCAAACATGTTGTTATGAGCAGTAATAAAAAATGATATGTAGAACATGGAATCAGGTAACTCTTGAAATTTTTGTTAGAATGATTTAAAATTAAATATATAATCCCATTTATCTGTATAATCACAGAAATATCTTGAGAAAAGACAAAAAAACAAAGGCTGTGATATCCCAAAATACATTAGCTATATATTGCTACAAAAATTATAAGCTTGGAAATTTTGCTTATTAGATGTAAGCGCTCCTGAATCATATATTCTTTATAATAAATATGCTAAACATATATGTTTTTTGGCCCACAGCTAACAATGAATCATTTAAAATGTGCTTACATGGTTAAGGCAAATACAATGGAATCAATGCAGAATCTAACCTGCTCAAGATGAAAAAGCACATTGGCTATATCTAATACTCTTTCCACAGTCTTCTCCGGATCTGATGTATCTTCAGTCCTGTTCGGTAAATCTTTGTAAAGAGCCATTTGCCATCTGATAGCAGGATCCTCCAACTGCAGAAAAAAGGAAAAAGTTTCAAAAATACAAGGTTACAACCTAAAGGGGGGAAGACCTACTTTATTGAGTGTAGCCCAGTGTCAAAACTCTGTGCAGAGATCAGGTCAGAGAGTGATCTCGTACTCATGAAATTAATCATCTAGTGGAGAAGATAGAAATTAAATATATACAATTGTGATGAAGGCTACTGAAGAGAAATATAAGGTATCGTGAGCTTCAACTTAACCTGCTGGTGGTTGGTAAGATTCCCCTGAACAAGGGAAGTTTTGCCTAAGACGTAAGGATGAGCTGGACATAGTCAAGGCAAGGAAGTAGACAAAGCAACCTTCTATCTTTCTCTTCCCCTTTCACAAACACTGAAAGATCTACATACTTATTTTCACAGGCAATGATATGGGATCACACTTAACTATAAATAGAGGGACTCTACAAGTGAGCTCAGTTTCACTGAAACAAAGATAGCAATATAAACCGATGGAAGGTTAATAAAGTCATATTCTATAATAAAGGAGTCTTTTTAACACTGTCAATTTTCCTGAGTGGGAGATATAACTGAATTCTGTATGTTTTTGAGAAGGATTATTATAAAATCATAGAAACTGAAAAATACAAGCATCCTTACAAGGAACAGATCACATTACTGCAAAGAAATAACATAGAAATAACTATGTCATTAAAAACAGGCAAAGCAATCTCCTTATATTTCTCTTCCCCTTTCAAATTTCCATTAAGAATGGGAGACAAAGGGTAATGAAGCAAAGGTAAATGGACAACATCTGAAACTTCACAACTCCTAGTCTGAGAAAACAGAGTTGGAAATGTGAAAAATAACTTTCACCTAGAGGCAAACACTGAATGACTTGTAAACACCATTTGTCCTTTGATAAAACGAAATGTTTTTTCCCATATACTTTTTTCATCTGAGGACTGTTTGGTACTTCTGAATTTTAACACATGTTTACTTGTATTTGGCAAGATAAGTACAATCTTTATTCTTTCTAATATAAAATTACTCCTTCTGGCTCCCAGGATTACCAGTCCTACAATTTCAAGACAATATATTTGAGAAGGTGTTAGGAACAAAAGAATTCATCTTCTGTTAATCTGTATGGCTCCATAATATGTGTGCCTAACTCGCAGCACAAGTATAGACTGAAATGTCAAAAAGAAAATCTATGTATTCATTACCACTTTATTTTCAGGTCTCATCCATTTTGAAGTGAAATGTTGATTATGTACGTGTTTCCTTCTTTGCTCTTCTTTCTTCCTGACTCCCCAGTACACAATATAAATTGTCCACAGTACTCCTACAAGTAACCTCTAGAATATAATGGAAGAATTTCCTTCTGCTTCTTCAAGACAACCTTTTTCATTTGATTATTTCCCGAGAGAAGCACAGAACCTTCCTTAAGAGGTACTAAACATCTCCTGACTCTACTTGGTAGTGGTTGTCCTAGACCATGGTTCTCAAAGTGCGGTCTTGAGTCCCCTGGGAGACCCTTTCAAGGACTACACGATCTCCATAAATACCCATATATGTAGCATAAACCTTCCACTTGAGGTTTAGTTGGAAGATCTATTAGTACATTTTAAAATGTTCACAATCTTTTTGCTATCTGAAAAGGGATCAAGCTCTAATAGGAATTCATCTCCTGTTCTAGATAAGTTTATAACTAAATGTATGACTGGGTACATACACATCAAAGTGCACATGAAATTTGTTTTAATCAATATTTGTTTCTTGTGAATATTGCAAAGGTACATCTCACCTTTATCATATTGTAGTCCTAAGTGTTAAAAGAAAAAGAATATGGTTTTGATCTTGGAAAGAAACATTTTAATACCCAGAAAAGCAAACATTATATTGTAGTCACTACTTTTTGACATTTGGACATTTTCATAATTGAGAAAATTCTCCAGAAGGGACACCAGAATGGAAGCAAATACACTGAATCAAAATAATAAGCTGCTAGATTTCATACACTACATAGGAGGTTCCATAAACATATGAACAATTTCTCTCCTAGTATGAAAAAAATTCCAAATAATAGTAAATGCTTACTGGACTACAAAACGTACTTCTAGCAATTTTTTTTTTTTTTTTTACCCAACAGTAATAAGTAGCGTTCTCATGATTTCCATTCATGTTTTCCTTCACCTCCCTAGGTAAATTCATTTATTCCTATTATGGCAATTCTTAATATCTCCTATGTATTAATGACTCTTAAATACACATATTTAATTTCTGGTCACTAGATGTAAAAGTTTAAATTCTTATGGACACCTGTCTCCATGTCCCCAAAAGTCCTCAAATACAGCTAGTGAAGGAAATTTCCAACCTTCATTTCAAATCATGACAGATTTTCTTCAAAGTCTGAGATTCTTTGATGATCTACTTTAAAAATCCATCATTTGTTATCTTGAGAGTCTTTAATACCAAAAGGTTTGCAAGTAGAATAAAGACTGATTAAAGTATTATATTTCTACTTTCTTAACTGCTGAAGTAACATTATATGTAGTACTATTCAAAGAGAGATTAACTAATTCATAAATACTAAATGTGGTTAAATCTGGCTTACCTTGCCTTGTAAATGAATATTACTGCGGATTATATCTCGTACTTCATCCTCAGTGTCTTTCTGTCAAGAAATAAATGTTACCTAAAAGAAGTCTTACAATGCATCAATTGTCACAAGTCAATAGGAATAAATCTAACTGCTTTTGAAATAGTATATGTCAAAATAAACATATTTACAGGATTTAAATACATGTCACAGATTTGGGGGGGGTTCTTTTTCAGATAATTTCTTGATACTGCTGTGACTAGAAACAAGATAACAACCTACTTTATTTCTACAGTAAGTGCCGTTAAGACTCAATGGAACAGACTCCAGTTCACAGGAAGTGGGAGAACCATGTTCCCTTGGGTTCAAACAGAAGTATGTCTCCATTATTCTCTGAAATCTCCACCAAGTAATTTTGGCACTTAATGATATCCCCCATGCTCCAGTAATAACAAGGAGCATATCTTGAGAATCAAATACTAGAACAACCGTTAGCAGAACTGCATCCATGCAGTCCACTCTGCTACAACATCCCCTTAATTATCTCACAGTGTTAAACTCTGGATACACAGAAAGGTGCTTCATTCAGTGTGGGAACAGGCAGAGGAAGAATATGCGCTCCAATTTCCCTAAATATAAAATAGTAATCCCAATGTATATTTTTGTAAAATTGCATCTGCGTAGCCATGAAGAGAAAACACAGGGGCCATAAAGAGATCTGGAAAACTTAAATTTCAAAGGTTGCAAGTTGCAAAGGAGAAGAGCTGCTGATTTAAAAGTCAAAACCTTATCCAGCCACCATCAGCACAGCAGATGATTCTTCTAACAGTGAAAAATTACCCCTCAAAAATTTGAAGAGACGTCTCATAACAAATTTTATATAGGAGTTCATATGGAATCCATTTTTTTTTCACTACCAGGAACTTGTTTGCATCTTTTCCCTATGGTTCCTGAGTAGTCTCTGAAGGTGATTAACATAATTTAGAAAGAAAAACAGCCACAAAAAAAAATAGGCAGTCTTTGTATCTGAATGGTAGAGTTTACAGAGAGAAACTGCTCAACAGAACATTTAATGCCAATGAAATATTGACACAGAGCAGTGAGCAGTTTGAGAGCATTTGAGAGTTGGGAGGACAAGTGATCGTCATTACCGGTGTGCACAGGAAACTTACCATACTGAATCGGTTTTTGGCCAGAGCAATGAGCTCCTGGTCCCCAGGGGCACAGATATTCAACCCAATGGGCAGCAATCGCTTCAGAGCTGCCACAATAAGAGAAGTCTGCATGGAATATCGATCTCCCTTGCGCTTCATTTTCTTCCTTTCCTGATCAGAGACAGCTGCCTACGGAACAAAGCTGTGTTAGAATTTGTGACTGCTTTTCTCAAGTTCAGAACTATGAACCTCTCCTAACTTGTCTGTGGTTCCATCTTCCTTATTTTCAGTTGGTCCCTATTTTTGAGAATCCTTTTCCTCTGTCCTTCTTAGCATCTCTTGCTAATTTCCAAGTCCTACTTTCAGCTTCCCAGCTCATTACCATTCACTGGTGTGCTTTCTACACACTTTCAAAAGGAGAATGCACATTGTGATTTTAGAGGAGCAGACGGGTATATGAAAAATCCATGGGAATTTCAGATATAGTATGTTTTATAGTTTTCATTGCTTATGAGGAAAATGTAAGAATATATGGTTTATTTTTGTTTTGACAGATGCTTGCTTTCAAATATGAACTCTCTTTCTCTCACACACATGCACATGATACATATAAAACTATTAGAAAATATATTAGCCTTTTATGTAATCTGCAGACTTGTCTCCCTAGGGCATTAACCCCTCTCTAGTGGAAACAGATGTAATATACTAATTGGTGTAACATAAATATTCAGGATTATCTCTGGATGACCTGTTTACATCTGAATACTGCCATGCTACATCAGGGTTCTTTTGTGATTTTTGTTAAATTTTATGTCTGTGCCTCAGGGTCACTTTAAATGCAGGGTCTAATTTTCACTGGGTAATGAGTATTATTCTATTAAGAGGGTATACTCGAACATCAAAATTAAAATAATTGTCCCATATCCACTTTTTTGTGCATGTTAAATTTCTTTGTAGCAATAAATCACACATGGAAGATATTTTCAGGATAATAACATACTGTAATAGTTTTGGCCTACTGTGAAAAAAAAAAACAGAAGAGAATTTAACATGCAAATGATTTGCTTTCCCCACAGAGACAAAATCTATCACAACATGTTGAATTTTTTCATATTAAGTAGTAAAATAATTGTCATCATAAAGTAATGGTAGCTTATATATTAATATTATATAATGTATTTACTATGATATATATTATATATTGATATATCAAACCTATAATATCTTAACTATAGCAATGAAATTATATTAACTTTCCAAAGAGATGTACTTATTGCATAGATCCTGCCCTTTACCAATTTGTAAGAGATTCATTTCAGTAAGTTTAGGAGAAAAAAAAACAATGAATAATTATTTGTACTATTAAATTGATTAACCCATAAAAAAATGGATCAGTGGTTTTAAATGAGCTCTTTGCTATAAGGAAATGCAACCACAGTGATAAAAATAATTACCCAAATAAGGAACCAACATCCTAAAAATTAAACAAATTGATACAAATTACACAAACATATTTCTATCCAATTCTGGTAATTTCGCTTCAGCAAAACAATGTCCTACAATACGTTAATGTCTACATTTTGTTGGTGTTGCGGTTTTCTTTGATTTTAACTTGTAAAGTTCTTTTGGGTTTATGATTGTATAAGCACAGGGAGCTTTTACCTGGTTTGATATTTATAAATATTTAAGTGACCATATAATAAAAATAATTAAAATCAACACTAAGGGCAACTTTAAATTGCTCAATTTTGAGAAACACCAGATCAATAAATTCCTACTTATGCTCAAACAGTAATCTTGCATCATATGCAACAGGAAATCTATAAACCGAAAAGAGAAGTTGCTATATCTTTGAACACTTATGGGTGATAGAATCCACTTCTAGTATAAAGAAGTTAAATCTACAAACAATCAAGTATCCTCATGTACATCTATGTCAGTTGGGTTTTTTTCTTTGATTGGCACCTTTTTCCTCCACAGACTATAGAGCTCCATTAGGACAGTGGCCAAATTTGTTCTGTTCCTTTCCATCTACTCAGAACCAAGCATTTTGCCTTGCCCGTAGGAGCTGCTCAGTAATTTGAGAAGAACTGCTAAAGCTACTGAATTTGCATGATATTTCACTTTTGACCAATTCCTAACATTTGAATCAGAGATGAATAGCTTGGTCAGAGATGAATAGCTTGGTCAATATATGGGCATACTTAGAGAGAAAAGTAGGATAAACTGACCTCTGTCATCAATCAGTCTCTCTCTGTCTCTCTCTCGCTCTCACACACACAAAAATAGCTCTAACAATCTCACCTAAAATAATCTAAAATTTAATAGAGATCAGGAAAAAAGGGAAGCATTTCTAATACTCCTACACTGAAATAGCCTACCAAAGCAAAACAAAACACAGATATTTATTAATGGTTTTAAAAAATATTTTAGACATATTAATCATAAAAGTGAGCCTAACGATCAAAAAGACAAGAGATAATAAATACTGGCGATGATGTGGGGGAAAGGGAGCCCTTGTGCACTGTTGGTGGGAATGCAAACGGGTGCAGGCACTATGGGAAACAGTAGGAAGTTTCCTCAAAAAATTAAAAATAGGAAGATATGATCCAGCAATTACACTGCCAGATATTCACCCAAAGGGAATGAAAACAGGGTCTCAAAGAGATATCTGCACTCTCCTGTTCACTGCAGCATTATTCACAATAGCCAAGATCTGGAAACAACCTATGAGTTTGTGCATGGATATATACACAGAGTGGGGTGTTATTCAACTACGAGAAAGAAAGAAATCCTGCCACTGCAACAACATGGGTGAATCCTGAGGGCATTGTGCTAAATGAATAAGTTAGACAGAGAAAGACAAATACCATATGATATCACATATATGTGGAATCTAAAAAAGCCAAACTGAGGAAAACAGAGAGCAGAGTGGTGGTTCCCAGGGGCTGGGAAGTTAGGGAGCGGGGCAGGGAATGGGGAGATGCTGATCAAAAGGTACACACCTCCAGTTATAAGATAAATAAGTTCTGGGGATCTAAGGTACAGCAGAGTGATTACAGTTAATGATCCTATGTTATCTACTTGAAAGTTGTCAAGAGATTAGATCTTAAGTGTCCTCACCACAAAAAAACATGGTAATTATTTGACATGATGTGGGTATTAACTAATGCTATGCTGATAATCAAGTCGCAATACAGAGGTGTATCAAATCAATATGCTGTTGATTTGTTCACCTTACATTACATAATATTATATGTTAGTTGTATTTTAATAAAGCTGGGGAAAATAGTGACTTTTAAACAACTAAGGCCAATTGCTACATTTCAACAGGAACTGAAATCTTAAAACAAAATAGGATATAATTCTTTTTTTTTTTTTAAGATTTTATTTATTTGTCAGAGAGAGACACAGTGAGAGAGGGAACACAAGCAGAGGGAGTGGGAGAGGGAGAAGCAGGCTCCCCGCAGAGCAGGGAGCCCAATGCGGGGCTCGATCCCAGGACCCTGGGATCATGACCTGAGCCGAAGGCAGATGCTTAACGACTGAGCCACCCAGGCGCCCCGAAAATAGGATATAATTCTATAATGCAGTAGGCAAAACCCACTATTTTTTTTCTCACATCGACAAACAGAATTTGTAACAGATGCTACCTGTATATGTTTTTAAAACAAGTTATGAAATTAACAACTTCAACAATGCTAGCCATATAATGATGCAACATTATATATTTTGCACCAATTCAACATTCAATAGTGTTTACTATTCAACAATAGTAAAGTAAGACACACACAAATGCCCAGGTTAAGGACCAAATTTCAAACTCTTTAAATTCAAATTTTCATTTGATTTATCCATACTAATTAAGTAGCCGTGATGCACCAAGCGCTGCATTGAGCTTTAGAGTTACCAAGTCAATAAAACATGTTCCCTGCCTTTGTAGAATGCTTGGTCTAAAAGAAGTCACAGTGGGGTTGCACACAAAGGGCCCAGGGCCCTGCTGGAAGGAAGGGCTCAGAGATAGAGCAGGGGACAGGAGGGAATGGCTTCCTTGGAGGGAGGGCACTCACCACCCTACATGTTAACAACCGGGGGAAGTACACTAATAGCCCTTTGCAGTAGTCAGCAGCACCATTCCCCACACTTCGGACAAAGACACAGCTGGGCTGCCACACCCCACATGCGTGGTCACCCTCTCTGAAGAGCATTATGGCCAATTTCAAATGCACTGGCCTCTCTCTGCCTTATGGGCTATGTACATATTAAGTCAAAATGAGGTTCCCAATCCCAGATTACCATATTCCGAATTGGTCTGCTGGCTTCAGCTGTCTATGTCCATCTTTTACCTAGAGTCATCTATTTTCTATCTTATCAAGTCCCTGCTTGGATGCCTGGCTGAAGACTGATACATGACAATTTGTTCCGTGGTTTACGTTTGGGTCTGAATCTCCATTCAAAAGAGTTCCTTTTTTCTTCTGGTCCCTGGGGGATGGATCTATCGGTCATGGTGATGTCTCGGGCAGACAGTTTGAGGCTTTGTCAGAGGAATCCCCGAAGCCTTCTGCATCATTCTGTTCTCAGCATCGCATGGGGGGAAACACCTCCCTGTCCATTTCAGCTTCAGATGTCAGACCTATGGCTGCCCTCCTGTTATCCATTCTTGGCACTAGATCTGAACAAGACAGACTTTTGGGAAAGATGTTACTCATCCCCTACTACATCCCACTTCTGGGTCCTTCATGCCATCTGGGCTTAGCAAAGCACCTCAACGGCACTGATGAAAGTATAGTTATGATGCTACTTTGGTCAACACAGTTACTCTCAAATCTGTCCAAATGCTGAAACACAAGGACATCATGATTCCTTTGGTGAAACAATACAGCATATTAGTGAATTGGACTCCATTATTTAAACTAGAAACATTACTTCTAGGAAAAAATTTCATGGTACTTATGCGATATAAAATTTCAAGCACATGTGCAAACAAAATCAACAACAAATCTTAAAAACAAGGAAGGAAAGCATGATCACTGATTTCTAAAAACTTCGTCAAGGGCACCTGGGTGTCTCAGTTGGTACAGAGTCTGTCTTCAACTCAGGTCATGATCTCAGGGGCCTGGGATTGAGCCCCAAGGTGGGCTCCCTGCTCAGCGGGAAGTCTGTTTCTCCCTCTCCCTCTCGCCCTGCTCATGTTCTCTCTCTCTCTCTCTCAAATGAATAAAATCTTAAAATAAATAAATAAATAAAGTACTTTGTCAATGTTGCTGTTATTTGCTATGTATCCTGTCTCAGAGTATCAGCAGTTGTATGGTAAAGAGATGGAAAGGTTTGAGAAAATTTAGTGCGTGTGGAGGCGGGGATGGGGGGGCAGATATTAAGATGCTTCAATCCATTACTTTGCATTTTCTCCCTGCAAATAGGAGTAAATGTTACTCTGAGTCAATCTGTACAGATGCCCCCGGTCTGGCTTCCAGGATGCACAGTGGACTATAATGAGGAAAAAGAGGGAAGAGGATGTCTGTAAGAACAGGCAGACCTCTGCTTTAAAGACTTCTCATTTATCGTTGAGTTTCATGATAGACCAGAACCACCATCATCGACCCAAAGGAAACACTGACCCCCTTTTGCCCTCTCTCTATGCCTTTGATAACAGGGTCCTAAGTTGACAACATGCTGTCAAAGCAGAAATATTCACTAACAGTTTTCAGTTCAAAACATCCATGAGACATGCACAGCATCTCAGGACAGCAACAGCTCACTCTTCAGGCTTATCGGCAGCCCAGAGGACAGCAAAGTTCTCATCTTTTATGTGTGTTTCCAGAGCACAGGCACATAAATAGTCTCTCAGTTGGACAGATGTTCTAGGTATGCAAACCTTCAGTGAGGCTTAGCTTTTAGTTCATGTGTAATAGTGTCAAATACATGGCATTTAAAACTCTAAAAAAGAACAGGAGCATTGAGTGATGCGAGTCAACTATCCTCATGGCCACCAAAGAAACAGGTGACAGGTACCAGTCATTCTTGGGTCATGCAGTAGGTGTCCCTCCCTCTGAAACTCTCTTCCATCATTGACACAGAGGGTAGAGACTGATTTCCTTGGCCACACTCACACTATTCTGCATCTTTGGCCATTTGGCAGCATACTTTCTGTGTTCCCCATGTAATATATTCATTTTCTTATTTAGTGGTAATTTGAACAATAAAGGCATGAATTTTAAAGTGTTTTGAAAGTTCCTCCCCTCCCCAACATGAGTGACAGAGAAAACAAAAATCTAGAGCCATACATCCCATCTCCTATGTGAGAACCTGGAGTTCATACATGTGGTTCTTAAACAGTGCAGCTAATTATTTTGATGTTTACATACTTGGCACATGTAAATGCACATATATTTAATCTTGATAAATTGGCGGTGTTGACTAATTATATGTATATTACACTGACTGGCAATTGTGTGTGTGTGTGTGTGTGTGTGTGTAAAGTATGCCTTTTTACTCTGATTCTTTGACATCTTGGGGTCTTGCTGATCTTTGACTGTCCCTCCTAATACTGATCATTTCCTACAGATAATAAATTACTTTCCTGCAAGCATGCTTTTCATATACAAACCAACCAACCCAGACTCTCATATTCCCCAATTACGTCTTTTCCTGGGTCTCGATCCACCTGCCTTAATCGCCCCAGGGCTAGGTACCAGACAACTAGGGATGCTCCCTAAACCCCAGAGTCCATTGAAATTACTCGAACTGGTCAATCCTAAACCTGCTTACCCTGCTTTGCCTGCCCCTTCCCACAAAAACCTCAATGAAGTTTCCTGCCCACCTCTTCCCCCTTGTTCCCTCTGCCACAAGACTGACAATAATGCTTTGCCACATGCCCCCACCATATGCCATGCCTTCAGTTTCTAGGGAACTGCGAGTAAAACCTTCTTCCTTCATGGAAGTCATTTCTGTGTCTGTGTGTCTTACCGTACCTACTTAAAACAAATCCTGCATACCCTTAAAACCTTGTGTATGCGTGTATGCATTTAATCAGTAAGCATTACAAAATCTCTAAAATCTCAGTTGTACACCTTCCAAAATATGTAGAAAAAATCAACAATGAAAGTTACATTCAAAAATTTTCTAGAACTGGGCAACAGATTATAGTAATACCTTTGACATCTTTGACTTGGTGTCAGTGATAAGGAAAGACATATTGTTGATTTCATTCTGTACCACGAAGTTCTGCTCTTCCCTCTTGAAATTCTGAGAATTTGCAAAGAAAATTTCAGTTAAAATATAACTGATATATAACATGGATAAGAAGCCCATGTAATTAGAGGTTACACAGGACCCAAAAGTTTATACAAAGATAAGTAGTAACTTGATATATAAGACTTACCAAGAAAGGGGAGCAAATATTTTTTTTAAATATCCAATGAGGGTGCTTGGCTTGGGGCAACAATTCTGGGAACTAGATATAAATATGTATGCTTCAAAGGTGGGAAAACTAAGATCCAGAATATGTAAATACAAATGTCACACATCTACCAAAGGGTGGAGTGAGTATTCAAATCCCAATTTAGCTGGTGAAAGGCATATACTGCTTCTTGGGAGAAAAACAGGGCACACACATCTATGATGTAACTTTCCAGTCTGTCAGATATTTTATCTACTTTCTCATAACATTATTTTATTCACTTTTAACTCAGGAACATAAGAACACAGGCAAAGCCAAGTGTTTGAGCAGTGATAGTAAAGAAGGCAAACAAAATAAAAGCAAGATCATCAGAGTTTTAAAAGAGAAGTTAATGATCTAAGCATATGCCTTCCTCTTTCGGATGAGCAAAACCCAAATAAAATGATTTCCTAGTAAGGATCCAAATATGTTAATAACTGATGAGTAATAAAAGGTTTTGTGTGAAGGACAATGAAAGGACTAAGCTTTGACTTTCATTCAGCTCACACTAACATTCTGATCTTACCATTTATAATAATATGGTTGCTCATAGAGTTTCACCTTTAAATATCTGGGGAAGAATATATAGGACACATACTAACAGATTTGGGTTTTAAATATACCCATGAGATTCAAAAGTACATATTCAGATTTTTTTCTTACTCCTGAAATTATCATTAGACATTCATCTAAAAATCTACTGACTGTGATAAATACTCCAAATACTTGTTCCAAAATTTTGACTTGCATATATATTTGAAGAAGCTTTTTTGGTATTTTGGTGACTGACGAAGTTGAAGATTCTCAGTCCTTCAAGGAAAAATATGCAGTTTTTACTTTTCTCGATTTACTCCTGGGCTCTGGATTTCAAATATTCCTTCAGAAGCACCCTGAATGATCTAATGCACCCTTTTCAACATGAGTTACACAGGCTCAGAAATCATTTGCTTTTATCTAGAGGAACATAAAGGATCTAAAAAAATTTTAGATATCATAGAAAATGAAAGTCAATGTGAAGATATAAGTGCATATATTAAAAAAAACATTATTCCACCTATTATTTCAGGGTAATTGTATTTTATATACATTTTGGTATCAAGTTTGACAGACTCCTCAGAAGTAGGCAATAAATAATATTTATTACCCTAAACATTAGGTAGGAAAATTTTATTTTTTTAAAAATATGACGTTTCTAAAATAAAAGAATTTGTATAACCATCTGATAAAATAAATTGGGAAGTCACCTCAAATAATGAAGCTGAGGTTGAGGTTTTATTTTTATTTTCTTGGAGTCTCCCATTTGCTAAGTGCCATCAAGAATTATAACTGACACAAAAATTCTAAGCTTTTGAAATAATTTGGGGCAACAATAAATGCTTACTTACCCATAGTTGCTAGTTATTGGAAATAATTATAGAATACTATATCAAGTTCTTATTATTAAAATCCTTTCCCAATTTAAAAATACAGAGTTCTACTTGTGACATACAAAATAGTGAAAATTCACTAAAGATGTACTTAAAAGTTCTATCAACAGAATTCCTAGAAGGAGCTATATTTTATTCTAATGTGAGCAAAACTAAACTCCTGTAGAAACAAAGGTGTGTGCTGCTGGAGCAAATTTAAAGAAGTAGTACCTTTACAAGTAAACAAGTGTTATCTTGTGCTTGAAAAACAAGTCTATCTCAGCATTTCTCAAACTAGTCATGAGGGCCCCCCCGGGGGGCTTAGCAAAACCTCTACACAGAGGGAAGCCTGTAGGATAAAAGGCCACATCTCTATGTCCATGTTATCCTAAAATTTAGGGGCAAATAGAAAAAACCCCACCATTTATGGAGTGCAACTAAAAACCCCTGTGATTTTTCCCAAACTCAAAAGGTTTAACATTGCCCCAAACTACCTAAGGGAATCTGTTCTCTCTCCACACCAGTTAAGGGATACCTAGGAAGCAAGCTCGAGAAACATTATCAAAGGTTATTTACTAAGGGGACTGGAAAATTGGTTAAAAACCTGAAAGCCCTTAACCTAAACCAAACAGGAAGCCCTGTCGATATTTTCCTACTTACATGGGATTTCGACCAGTAGATAAACACTTCGGCCACCATGCGGAAAAGGTCCTCTGCTTCCGCGTTAGGCTCTTTTAGCCACTTTGCCCTAGATCACATAATAAATGAAGTGGTTTCTTAGTTATTCCTTTGAGTTCATTTTTTTGTTTTTTAAATCACCCACTCAATGGTAAATTTGAAACCAAGTCAACTAAGGGCGAGCCTGTGCCCACAGAGCTCACAAAGTGGCTTCAGAGTCCATTTGTTTAACATTTAAAACAGTTTAAACATTGGGGGCTCCTGGGTGGCTCAGTTGGTTAAGCGACTGCCTTCGGCTCAGGTCATGATCCTGGAGTCCCTAGATCGAGTCCCGCATCGGGCTCCCTGCTCAGCAGGGAGCCTGCTTCTCCCTCTGACCCTCCCCCCTCATGTGCTCTCTCTCTCTCTCATTCTGTCTCAAATAAACAGGTGAAATCTTTAAAAAAAAAACAGTTTGAACATTGTAACTGTCAAACTGCTAACTTTAACCTGCAAAAGGCAGCCTGCTCCAGAATATGATTTCCCATTGTAATTCTGAGATGCTTGGTGAAAATGACCCTGTCTATAAACATTTGGTTATGTCACAATCATGGACAAGCTCATCACGTAGTCAATGAAGAAATTCCCCTGGGACATATGAACCCAGCAAGGACATGATTGAATCAGAGAAATTCATTGCTTTTGAACACTGTACCTGTTGTAGTCCACAAATCTAATCAAGAGTGGGTAGAAGGCATAGAGATCTCTGGCCAGTGTGGTGAACTCATCCAGAATGAGAAGTTCCGCCTCAGACATATCCCCCCTGGCCTCGGCCTTCAGATGGTCCTCCTCAGACACCACCATCGCTGCTTTTTTCTTGAGTTTCTCCATTAATGGCAAGAAATGAGTTTTCAGGAGCTGAGGTTTCACTTTATTTATAATGGGCTGGGAGAAAACTGTTTGAAGACAGACATTAATATTCTGCCCTGCATCAACATTCGTTAAAATGAAGATAGATTATAATTACAATTGTAATTGCATGATTTACGCACTCCCCCGCCACCCCGCCCCAGCACGTGGCTTCTTTCAGGATTCAGCCCATGCCTCAACCATTTTTCCAGTCCTGAACCTAATTGCACAGTTGCTGTTCAAAAATGATTACTGAATTGAATTTGATGTGCTTTCTTGTTTTTTGTTTTTAATTGGCAGCTAATTTGGAATAGGAAAAAAAAAATAGGAATGAAACACGTTCATTCACTTCAGAAATCAATTATTCTCACAAAAAGAAGAAAAAAATCCCCAAATGGAAAAGGTTCCTCTGGCCTTTTCTTTACAAGGAATATGCGCCACTGAATAATTATGAGAGTACATCCAGTTGTATTACTTCTGCTTCCCCATCCTTGTCCCAATGGGAGACTTACATTGCATGGGAAACTGTTGCTTTCATTTACTAATAATAAATGTATAAAAGAGAAAACACCCTACCCAAATTAGTAAGACATCAGTGTATTACTTTGGAGTTTAAGTAAATGAATAATTTTCTTTCTGTCTTTTTCTTTCTGAATTTAATTCTTTAAAAACCCTTTTTTTAAATTTTATTATGTGAATCACCATTAGTTTTTGATGTAGTGTTCCATGATTCATTGTTTGCATATAACACCCAGTGCTCCATGCAGTATGTGCCCTCCTTAATACCCATCACCAGGCTAACCCATCCCCCACCCCCCTCCCCTCTAGAACCCTCAGTTTGTTTCTCAGAGTCCATAGTCTCTCATGGTTCGTCTCCCTTCTTTTCATCCTTGAAATTGCTTCCTGGGGTGCCTGGGTGGCTCAGTCGGTGAAGCGTCTGCCTTTGGCTCAGGTCGTGATCTCGGGGTCCTGGAATGGAGCCCCTGTTGGGCTCCCTGCTCGAAGCAGAGTCTGCTTCTCCCTCTCCCCACTTGTGCTCTCTCTCTCAAATAATAAATAAAATCTTTAAAAAAAAAAATAAAATCTTTAAAAAAAATAAAAAGAAATGACTTCCCATTATCCAATGTAAATAGTGCAATGATAAACAAATGTAAATTTTTGACTGCATGCTTTGATTTTCTTCCCCCACTCCTAAAAAGATGAATTGTTAAAAGGGGGTTGTTTCAAAATCCAGTTTTATTTTTCTGTCTACAGAATCATTAGTTTTCATCCGGCATTTACTGATTACTCTTACAGAGACTGTTCAATCAGGAAAATGTTTGCTTGCTTAAAAGTTGTAATAACAACAACCAAAAGTTGTAACGATATGGCAAGTTACCTGATGCCTGATTAAATCTACATTTTTTTAAAGAACAGCATGACAGAAATAATAATATTTTTAGTATTTTTGACAACAGAAGAAAATATTGATAAAGACTAACATAGGAAAGTTCTAGTCTTCTGTATTTCATTTTTTTAAAGTTTGTTTATTTAGGTAATCTCTACACCCAACGTGGGGCTCAAACTCATGACCCCAAGATCAAGAGGTGCATGTTCTACTGAACGAGCCAGCCAGGCGCCCCTAGTCTTCTGATTTCAAATCCTTTTGGAAATAAAATAAATTCAAGTAGCACATTCCTTTCCAATTCTTACCTGCTAACCTCTTCATCCAGGCGCCCTCATCAATTCCCAAGTTATTATATATGATTTTCAATATATTCCCCAGGAGTGTGTTCATGTGCTCGGAGTTCAGTGCTGTGCAGCACATTTCAGCCCTTTCCGGATTGTTTTCAGGTCCATGCTCCCACCAGCGGGACATGTAGCTGCAAAGCATGGGCAGTATGACTTCCATCACATGTGGTATTTGTGTGTAGCGAATGCCAGACTCGGCTAATTCCACAATTTCTTCCATGAGTTTCTCCAAAGACGGTATATTTGGGCAAACATCTTCCACATTAGTTGGCAAATTGAGAGCTAAAGAAACACACATAAAAAATGAACTGTGTTCAGTGAAAGAGCGGACTGACAGTAACAGCCAGATTTCTAGAAGGCACAAGCAACCACTTCATGCTGGGCTTCAAAACCCAGCAAGACCAGGCATGCCTTCGACTGGCTCCTCTCTCTTTACTCACGGCAGCTATCAAATTTTCTCTCGTTTTCCCAAGTTCCTATCCTACCACCACTCCCTTAAGATCACAGAACGACCATTTCTTCTACTTCAGCGAAAACCAGAATATCCAGTGTCTCTGCCTACAAGCCTTCTGTAGGGTCCATCCTCCCACGTCTGTTCCCCATTTTCAGCGCAAGGAGCTCTGAGGTCCCTGTTCATGGCTGGGCCTGTGTTCTCAAGGTGGAGCCTGCCCCACTGCAGGAGCCTTGCTCGGCCTCTTGAGCCCCTTGTTCTGTAGCATCTCCTCCCCGGTAGCCTGTAGCTATGCTTCCAATCTCCCCTGGATTAATTAGCTTTCCAGAAATGAAGGCCTCCGCCTACCACACTTGATGATTTCCCTGTTTCACACTTACTGAAACCCTTACCCCACTAACTGATATAGGGGCTTTCCCATCACTGATGGAATTCCCTTTTCCTTAACTTCAATGCATTTGGTCTTCCTGACTCCCTCCTGAATTCTGTCAGGCTCCTTTCCTGGCTGTTTGCTCCTTGATGAACTTATAAATGTTGTGGGTTTTTTTAGGGATTTACCCTGAATTCTCCTTTCTTTTTCCCTTCTATGTTCGCCTGGGTAATTGTGGCCATTCCTATGGGCTTCTGCTATAAGCTAATAACTCTCAGAGCCAGATTTCTTGAAACTTTTGCGTGTAATACTGAATGTCTCAAAAGCAACTTAAAACACAACGGATCTAAATTTAAACTCGACCTTTCCTCTCCCACCCACCCCATGAACATGTCTTGGCACAGACAACATTATCCAGTCTCTCGAACTAGAAACGGAGAAGAAATTTCCAGGCTGTAATGCCCCCGTGTTTCCCACACAACAGGATGGGAACTCCAGGATCTCTCACAACCATGATATCCTCCATCCAAGGGGCCTTCCTCAATCTCCTCTCTCCTGAATTACCACAACCATTCTCTGAACTGGTGACTCACATCCATTCATCTTCCCAATTTCTGTCATGATGGATTTCTACAATGCTGACCTACTCATGTTTCTCCTCTTCTTAAAGCCAATGGAAGGATCCTGTTTGTGTTGGTATGGTGTCCAACTCCTTCCCTGACACAGAAAGCCTACTTTACTTGGTTTTCCATCCTTTCCTCCTCTCTGAACTTTAACCCCCTCAAGGGCTTGAAGTTTCTCCAGATGTACCACAGTTTCAGTGTTCCTAATTTCAAGATTCCTCTTGAATCAAATCAGTGAAGTCTTTCCTGGGGTCCTTAGCTAAAACTGCATTTTGGTGTCCTTCGTGTTCTTTATTCTGAATTCTATCACGTATGTCTCTCAGCCTCTCCTACTGCAGCTAAGAATTCCCTGAGAGAAAGAATCCAGTCTTGCTCATTCTTGTGTCAAATCTCCCCCATCCACCCTAGTATACATCATAATTACTTGTCCAATGACTAAAACATGAATGAAAACGAATCATTCACTGCAATTCCTTTACTTTGTTATGCAAAGGATGTGTTATAGAAACAAAAGCAGGTGAATTATCTGCCCTGTGCATTTTCTTATCTGTAATGAATAACAAATCTGCCTCATTCTGGACTCATAGCAAAAGTATTCATCAATCAAAAATCCTAAATAAGACAACTTAATAAGGCGGGTTTACAAAGACGATTAATAGCTCGAACTCAACCACATTTTACTATTTATAAATATATTGTGGAATTTATGCAGAGAAATATTGCTAAATCACATTCAACGTATTTTTCTTTAACTTCCTGTTATATGAAATTAGAATTATAAAATAGGCAAATTAAATAATGATTACTCAAGTTTTTAAAAGATTCCTTACTTGGTAAAAGGCATTATAAAATCAGTATAACCAGCAGCTCCCCTAAAAACATGAGTTAGTTACAGAGAAATAATCTCATTAACAGAGAGGTATACATTTGTGAACAGCAAACAGTTCTTGCCCAAGTTTTGAGAACTCCTTAGGGCTACTGGAGAGCAAATAAAATACATTGTACTGTATCAGACTTTGAGGAATTCAAACAAAAGAGTGATACTAGAGGACATCTGTGTACATTCAGGCCTTGAGAACTCTGGTTTGCTTTAAATGGCTCGTTAGAGAAATAACTTCTTTCTGCTATATTAACTATTTCTTATCCAAGTCAATTCAATCCTAGTAAATAATTCTAATAGGTTCTTATAGACTAATCCTTGAAATCATCACCAATGGCTCTAAGAGCTTTTTAACTGGGAGAGGGGAAAAAATGAGCCTACCTACTCAGCCGACCTACTAAGCAACATGAGGTATACTATATTTATAGATGCCTAGTATACATACAGACATAAAAATCTTAAACATATGCATGATAAGGTCAGGTTCAAATTTAAGTCACTGTGTCTCAGATTTATAAGTTTTCTAAATGTTAATAATCGGACTACACTACTAGAAAAAATCATATGGAATAAAACTGTCCCAATAAGATGGATGTATCTGGTGAACAAAAGAACCCAAAGGGTACAAATCCATAAATGTAACAAATAAGAACACCACACACTTGCTGACTACCTATAGAAGAAAACTGAATCAGAAATCAGATTGACCTACTTTTTTCCATTTCTGCCCATTATTTTGTCTTATTCTTAACAGTGTTAATTTGTCTGTGATTCATTAACTTAGAAGAAATTAAACAAATTTTCTTTTACAGACCCTAAGGGAATAGTATGTAACATTCCAAAAAGATCCAAATAATAACATTTAAGAACCAATATCATTGGAGATAACAAATTGAAATGGTCCATTAAAAAAAAATCACTGTAGGAAAATACAATGAATGTCATTAAGTTTCAACTTCATATCTCAAATACTGAACATGCTTCTGTGTTACCTGCTCTTTCTCTTGAGGACTTAGTATTGTAGATAGAGTAAATGTTATGTTTGTCAAGATGAGTTTCCAAAAATGCTACAGGAAAGGCACCAGCAAAAGCCGCAAGACATTCTCCTAATGCAGAACGTTGCCTACAAGTGGAAAATATTTATGTTTTTTATGTCTTCCAAGTAAATGGCTGAAGAAGTTACACTACAATTGACCAGTTTAACCCACAAGAGGTATAATACTAGTGCTACTAATAAAATTAACTCCAAAATCCAATTTCTATATCGCAAAACATCACATGCTTTCAATAGCAAAGTCCCCGCCAATAAAAAAAAAAAAAAAAGCAAAATTATCTGTTAAAAAGAAGACCAAAATCAAAGAAAAACCCTGTCAAATCCCCCCCCCACACACACGTTTGGACACTTCTTTTGCTTTGCTTTCTTTCTTTACATCTTCCTTTTTTATTTTTATTTTTATTTTTTTTTTTAGATTTTATTTATTTATTTGCGAGAGAGAGAATGAGAGACAGAGAGCCTGAGAGGGAGGAGGGTCAGAGGGAGAAGCAGACTCCCTGCCGAGCAGGGAGCCCGATGCGGGACTCGATCCCAGGACTCCAGGATCATGACCTGAGCCGAAGGCAGTCGCTTAACCAACTGAGCCACCCAGGCGCCCTACATCTTCCTTTTTTAAACATAGTGACCTGATGAAGAATTCTTGCTAGGTGAATAAATGCATTGATAAACATTTAAAAAATAAAGTACTGACACCAATAGACTAACACAATTTACTATATAGAAGTAATTTCTGGGTAGCTAAGAAATATTAAGATATAATAAATGCCAAAAACTATTAATAACACTCAAAAATGATTTATCATTTTTAAGGGAAGGAAGAAGCTTAAGGAATCATTCTCTGATCAGCTGATTCAGGGCAGGGTATGACCCAAAGCTCCCCCTGCACTGACAAAAATTCTCTCTCGCCCTCAGTTACCTATGGCATCCAAGGATTCACTGGCACATTATTAAATGTAGAACAATATGAGAGTTATTTCAGCATATTATGACCTCCTTAAATTATTGTATACAAATGTTTTATTTTCAAAGTCAACAAAATGTATCTAAGAAAAGATTACATAATTCAGTTAGGTAGTTCTAAATTTCTAACTGAAAAATATGATTACTTAAAATTAACAATGCCTCATTTTCTAATATTTTAATTAAAAATGATTAGACATTTAGTCAGCTAGGAGAAAATATCCCTTCATAGAATGACATTCAATAACACAGAGTTTAATTCAAACATTAGCATTTCATTGTTAAAAATAATTTAGGATATCAAGAAATTACAAAGGGTACAGGCTTTGATTCAGATTGACCTGAGTCCCAAACTTATTCCTAATATTTGTGTCACTACAGGAAAATTACTCACTCTTTATATGTTTTGCTTTCCTCATCTAAAAATAGGGATGCAGAATTGCAAAAATTCTGGCACATATAATGAGTTCAATAAATGTTTGAAAATAATGGGAATATATTTATTCAAGAATTTAATAGCTTAAAATGTTTCCTGTATGACCCCAAAGTAATTTATTTCCTTACATCTGACTAGATAAGTCCTTTTATTTCATTAATAATTCATGTGACCTATTTAATAATTTGCTTCAAATTTTCAATTCAATTAGTAATTCCCAGACCAACTCTGATCATTTGTGTTGGTATTCTGGAAATAGCAATTTTTTTAGATGAGTCTCATTAAAATATCTGCATTTTTCTTTTTTTAAAAGATTTTATTTATTTATTGAGAGAGAGAGAAAGAAAGAGAGAGTGCGAGAGCACAATTTGGGGGAGAGGTAGAGGGAGAGAGAGAATCTCAAGCAGACTCTGCTGAGCACAAAGCCCTTCTCGGGCCCTGAGATCATGACCTGAGCTGAAAATCAAGAGCCAGATGCTTAACTGACTGAGCCACCCAGGAGCCCCAATATCTACATTTTTCTCAGTTATGGTGTCACTTTTTCATTTTTTTCAAAATATCTTTTACTCATCTTTTGATTTTCATTTTTATAATCTCCCCAAATGACTTTATAATTGCAAACAATTAGAACCTAACAAAAGGATCCCAAATTTTATCAAAAAAAAAAGACAAACCACAAAACCCAGAGGTAAGAAAAGAAACAGCAACAGTACTGCTAAGGTAATGAGAGAGTTTGGACTGCCAGATTCTAAATGTATTACAAACTACTAACAATTCAGGCTACATGGTAATGATCTAATCATTTAAAAAATCAAATAACAGAACAGAATAGAGATTCTAGAAATATGATCTAGTAAATACATTACCTCAGAATATGATGAAGCTTTTATTTTAAATCAGCAGATAAAAGAAATATTTGATAAATCACTACTTGGGGAGGGAGTTAGGGGGACAAGTGAAATAGGTAATGAGGATTAAGAGGCACAAACTTCTAGATATAAAATAAGTCACAGAGGGGCACCTGGGTGGCTTGGTCAGTTAAGCATCCAACTCTTAATTTTGGCTCAGGTCATGATCTCAGGATTGTGGGACTGAGCCCCAGGTAGGGATTCACGCTCAGTGGGGAGTCTGCTTGAGGATTCTCTCCCTCTGCCCCTAACTGCCCCCAACTCATTGCACTCACTCTCTCTAAAATAAATAAATCTTTAAAAAGAATAAAATAAAATATGTCACAGAGATGAAAAGTGCAGCATATGGAATACAGTCAATAATACTACAATAATGCTGCATGGTGATATGTGTAACTACATTTATGGCAGCGAACACAGAGTAATGTATAGAAAAGCCCAATCACTATGCTGTACACCTGAAACTAATGTGACATGGTATGCCAACTACATTTCAATTAAAAATCATTACTTTCCATGTGGTGGATGATTTTAAACATTTAATATGAATTCTACGTAACACTAAAGAGAAATATGAAATTCAGATTCATTTCTAGTAAGTTCTCTTCTTACTCCAGAGAGGATCACTTCACTTCACTCTCCTTGAACTTCTTACATTTCCTTTCTCAACCATCACTTGGCTGAGGCACACCTCATAGAGAAAACGGAAGCCATCCGACACAGACTGATCTATACCTGATTTATCTACTACCTGCTTTCTGTTGAATGGAGGAAAGTTCTGAGCTTAAAAAATCATGTTCTCAAACATACAGTCTTGAATACCCCATGTCATTCTCTTTATTGTGTGCTTATTCACACACAATAACCTGGCAGTATTACATTTTCCACTTTATTTGTTGTGGGTTTTTTTTTTTTTTCTTTTTCCCCATTAGGTATAAGCTCTTTGAGAATAGGCATCCATCTTGCTTACTGCTGTATCACAGAACCTGGCATTTATATTTATTGAATGAGCAATGGATTAAAAAGCTAAATTTGAACTGAAAGAATGAAAAACCTAAGAGAATAAATATTTGAATTTCTAGCTGTTATGAGTACGGTATAACCTGTCTAAAAATATTAAATTAAGGGGGAATAAAAACCCATGAAATAATTGACAGGTCAAATAAAAATCAAAATTCCCATGTCACAAAACATTATCTGTACATAGATTTATACATAATCACTACAAAGTTATGAAAATGCTAAAAGTCACAAAGATGGTAGAAATAATAGGCAAGATGGTAATAGTTTTAATAAAATTCATTAATCACCAACACATTAAGAGAAAAATGTACAACAGATATAAAAGGCAATTCAAAAAATAAAGAAATAAAATGGCAAAGAAAACACACACAAAAAAAATGGCTAGGAACCAGGAACTAGGGAAATGCATTTGAAAAGAAAAATGGAATCCCATTTTTAACTACTATATTTTTAAATAGAAAAAAGAATAATAATCAGAAATGAGGAAAATGTGAGGAAATAAGGATCCTCTTGTAAAACTTGACAATGTCAACTGAAACAACTTTCTGAAAAGACAGTGAGATGTGTATCATAATATATATATATTATATATACATATAAAGAGACATAATATATGTCTCTTTAACCTACATTTCTAAATTCTAAGAATACAGCTAAAATAAATAAAAATAAATATATGCAGAAAACTGTGAACATAGATTTAGCATTTACGGAAATGAAAAAACAGCCTACAAACAAAAAATAAAGTAACATTTCTATAAATTACAAAACTTCCTTAGTATAAAATATTTTGAAGCCATAAAACTCATATGAAAATAGAGATTAACTGAAAATGTAGATAAGGGGTGCCTGGGGGGCGCAGTCAGTTAAGTGTCCAACTCTTGATTTCAGCTCAGGTCACTATCTCAGGTTCATGGGATTAAGCCCTGCATCAGGCTCCACACTCAGCATGGAATCTGCTTAAGATTCTCTCCCCTTCTCCCTATGCCTCTCCCCCCGCCCCTCAAGCGCTCTTTCTCTCCAAAATAAATAAATCTATCCAAAAAAAAAAAAAATGCAGGTAAAAAACATGCAGCGTGAATCCAATTATCCTTTTACATTGATTTACTGTCCTATCTCTATCCACTTGCCACCCTATTTTAATTATTGATACTTTATAAGTTTTAATATTTGGTAGGCCAATGAGTATCCTTCCATTACTTTTTTCATCTCAAAATTTTATTGGCTAGTCTCATGAGTTATTCTTTCAAATGAAATTCCAAATTATTTTGTCAAGTTCAATAAAAAGCAAATTTCTACTTCAAATTTTATTGTAATTAACTATAGATTAATTTGGGGAGAATTTACATCTTTTCAATATTATTCCATCAGAATATCCTTTCATTTATTTATCAGTCTTCTCTCTGAATGTCATTTTCTTTAGCCTTTTAAAAAAACTGCCCTCTTTTTCTCTTCTCTTTTTCACAGAAATCTTTTTTTTTCCTTTTTTTTTT